ATTGTTGAATCATTAAAATTCGATGATAATAATGTTGTTGATGTAAGTAATGTTGAATCAGAATTTATTAATAATATCATTCGGCCGAATGTTTGTGGTCGATTTGGATCACTTGTAAATAAAAATAAACAATTCATATCAACATAACCTGTACGAAAGATTGGTTGTTGAGCATATGTTTGAGGTAAATTTGGTATTGTTGGTGGATAACGTACATGAATTAATTCAAGTCGTGCTTGTTGAGGTTGTTGAGTTGTATTTGTATTTGATTGAACTACTGAAATATTATATAATTTAGTTCAAATTTTAAATAATCAATAAGATTTTGATACTGCAACTATTCAATAAAGTTCTATTAGGCTTATTAAATCTTTCAAAATTTAATGAGTCATAAGAAGTTTTAATTTTTAAAATCTACTTTCAATAAAAATCATATTATTACATATCTATAGTATTTCATGCATATTTCTTCCAATTTTTGAAGTATTCGTTTTGATTTTTAGAAATCTTCAATAGAAGTTCTACGTATCCAATTAATACGGATTCAAATTTATTACCGAATTGAAGAAACGTATTCTTCTATGATTATGAGCCAAACGAGGGAAGGTTCTCAACTGTGACTCACCAATCGAACTGATATTTTGCTTATTAGTAGATTCCGATGAGACAAGTAGAAGACTATAAGGATTTATCTCCATGCCCTATCCTTCCTAAGTTATACCAATATTACTGAATTTTTTATTTCTAAGCTCATGAAAACGAATCTGTATAAATTTCTATTAATCTCGTTGGGGCATTTTTATGGGCAAAACATTAGTTCGATTGGCGAGTCACACTTGTGAATCTTTCCTCGTACAACGAATCATCAATAATTTCTATTCGCTTAAAAACTTAGAATACTTTCTTTAACATGATCTGAAATATATTCATTCATAGAAAGAAAAGTTAATTTTACAAAAAACATGATATTTGAAAGTGGATCTGTTTTTGGAGTCGAACATTGCTGATCGGATTTAGTTTTTCAATTGCCCTTTTTTATAGTCACTTTCATTGAATTTTCTAGAGAGTTTTATCAACTATCTTTTGAAAAAAAAAAACGTTCAAGTCAAAGCTTCAAAAATTGATACAGATATTCATAAAATACTAAGAAAATCATTCATTTTACTTGACCCATTCATATGTTCAATCTTTGAAAAACAAATTACCTGTAGGCATGATTAATGTATAATATAATCGGATACCCGTATGTGTAACTAATATTAAATTAAATAAATTTGATTCATATGATTGCACAGTATACATAGTTAGAAAAGGTCGATAATCATCATAAGCAATAGTTTGTCTTTGTTTTAGTTTACTAATTAAATCATCAAAAGTATAATTAAATAAACGATGACCTTTATCTGTTGATATATCATATATATGTAATGAATCATTAGCTAAACGTGCATATAATAAAAGTCTTTGATGATCAATAGTTATTTGTTTAACAGTTATTAATTGTGAATTTGTTTGTGTTAATGAACCAATTTGAAGAAAACTTGGTACTAAATTTGATAGAAATGTTTGTCCAAGTTTATTTAATGTTGATTTAATATTTTCTTCATATATAAATTCATATATATCACCACATTGTCCACCAAGAAAAAATCTTTCATTTGATATTGATAATGTATCAAAATAACCTATTTGATTTAATGTATATTTTAATGTTGGTGTTGTATACCAACGTTGAATATTATTTGATTGTTGATCATCAATTGTATATATTAATATATCTTGACTTGTTAATATAACAAGTAAATGAATAAAATGTTCAATAAGATCATTTGTTGTTAATAATGGTGGATATTTTGAAGTTGATGTTATAACCGATGGTAACCATGAACCAAGAAATGAAGTTGAATGTGTTAATTTTTTTGTTATATTTGTTGTTGTTGTTTTACGACGACGAACACAATTACAAGCAAGAACAATTGAATCAAATTCTAATTCAATTAAATCAACTATTGTTGGATATTTCCATCTAAATATTAAAATATCACATAGATTTTTATTATGGTTCGTAAAGATATTAGTTTCTAAATGGATACTTTCAAAATATTTTAGACACTTTTTTATCGATCATTCTATTCTTCGGATTATATATGAGATACGAAAGTTTTTCTGGAAAAAAAATGTTTAGATTTGTTTCAGAAACTTTAATCTTTTTGAAGATATTTATTTTCTATTTTGTAGTCCACAAAGGCTTTATCTACAACCTATACCGAAACAATTCTCTAGCACCACGTTAATATTCAGGAACGTTATTTTGAATGATCAATTTTAGGAATTAACCAAATTATATGAAAGTCAACTGAAGCTTAATATTTCAAAACAATATTGTGTAATCAATGCCACATTACATGTAAAGGTCATATAAATATGAAATATGGATATGGCTATTCTTTATGTCATATCCATTTGTAACGAGACAAATTTGTTATTTCTTTTTTATTTGTCAATCTGTAGAGTAAGATAAATATCGTTGTGTTTTACTTACAAATAAAGTTTTTGATCAACTGATAACCAAAGCATGTTAAGTGAAAGAATATAACCACTCCGATAAACTGATGGTGTTGTTTGACTTGAATTTTGTTGTTGTTCAGTAATTGTTGGTGGTATTGATGTTATTGTTGCTGATGGAATACTTATTCGATTTGTTGGTTCATATGGAAATGAACGTGTATATGAACCATCTGTACCTCCACTTGTTGTTAAAATTGATGAAATTGTTGTTGATGATGAACGTATTGAATATTCAATATCAGTAAAAGGTGTTAATTGAAAAAATTCATTTAACCATGTTGAGATTTGTTGATAAAAATCACGAGTATTAGTATCAAGAACAGTACCAATTGGAGATGATGATGGTGATGATGATGATGTGGCCATAAGATATATTTTATTTCAAACAAAAAAACACAACAAAATCTGAAAATATTTAAATTGATGGGTTTTTTGTGCATTTTTATTTTAAATTATTATTTATATTTAATAAAACAAGAAAAATTTCAATTGTTCACATCTAAGATAAATTCAAAAAGCAATTCCCTTTTAATTTCACGATCATAATCAAATTATTATTGTCATATATTAATATAGACAACATCTTTTTGAACAGTTTCAAATGGAACAAAAAAGAAAAAAATAACCTTGAACTATAAAATTTATTTTCAAATAAATAATCTGATTTTGATAATCACTTATTTCATTTTATTAATGTTAAATCAGTATTTATCGATATATTTTTATTTTGAACATGAATAAATGATCTTCTTGTGTTTTTAAATATAAATCTGAAAGAAAAATATTTAAGTTATATTCAAAACTCACATGAATTTTTTTTTTTGACTATTTGTTTTCAAAAATCGATTGGATAATCTTTTTTGAAGCAATATATACATTTGGATGTATTCAAGCAATCGTAGATTAGTTTGTGTATCCGTCTCTAGGATGTAGTCGACATAATTTATTTCTATTGAAAATGACACAATGTGAAGAAAAAGAAAAAGAAGCGGTTTTAACAATGACTCATTTGAATGTTAGTTTTTCTTTTTACTCAAAATAGAAATTTATGTTTTATCTACTAACACATCAAACCTCAGACTAACACACTTTTCTACTTAGTACTATATCATCTTATATAATATCAACATCTATCCGTCTGCTTTTTTTTTGTCTTTCTACTTTTTTTGGTTATAAATATTTACATAGCGATTGGCGATTCAAAGGCTATGGGATATCACCTTAATAAAAGATGTCGCCGAGAATAAGATAAAAATGGACTTGCTTTTCTTTTGTATACAAAGATTATTGAACGATATGAAGTTAGAAATTGAGATTTAGTCATTGAAAATATTCATATAAGAATTATTATTTTGTAACATCTTTTTAAATATAATTACCTATTGAATGAATCCTTTTTTTTTAAACCTAGAACAAGAAAAATCTGGAAAATTAGAAATTTTAATAATCCACGAGATAGATTTCAAATCATCTGCTCATAGTACAGAATTTTTAATTTTGGTCTCTAATTCTATCAGATCTAAAAAAAGAATTTTCGATAGTGAAAAGACAGTCACTATCAACTATTCGTGATTTTATTATACAGTAACTAATTTATAATTATCAATATATTCACTACAAACAGAATTTTGCATCTATTTAAAATCAGCAAAATCATAACTACTGTAGATAAATATACCAATATTTTGAAATCAAATACAAGGTATTAATAAAAAAATGATGTTAGATAGAATTGTAGTAAATGTTTGATGACTCTAGTCAGTTCAAAATATATAACAGAACCACATGTGACTTCATTTTTCAAATATTTATTTTGTTGAATCGGTCCAGTAGGTTCAGAATTTCAAGCTCTATCGACTAGTATATGTCTTAAATCAATAATAAATATATTTATGCTATTATAAAATCAAGATTGCAAATTTTTTTTAAATACACAAATAAATCTTTCTATTGTATTAAAACCTTCGATTACTTTACAATTTAATTTTCATGATAATTTATAATGTATCTTTTTTGTCATTAGAAGAAAATTTGTTCATATACATGATATCAAATCATCATGTTATTTGAAGTATAGACAAAAAAAAAAAGAAACAAAAAAATGTTATTTTTTCACTCAATAGACCAATGATATTTCTTTTTCTCATACAAAAGAAAACAAAAAGAACACATTAATTAATAAACATCATAAATTTAATATATTCTTTGACACAAGATCGAATAAAGATAGATAAAGTGAACAAAGACAAAAAAAGAAAAAGAAAAACAATATTCATTCAAATATGAGATTAGTTTTTAAATATACATTGATCTGAGAGAAAGAAAAACCTACAGATCACATTGCACGCTATATATATATATAAGAAACCAAATATGAATAGTTTGAAAGTTCACAAATGTCAGGAAAAAAAATATATGTTCCTTATCTACACTTAATTTGTTCCATTCGTTGTCGAAGCTGGTATAATAAGTGTTGATGCCAATGTTGGTGGAGCTGGTGGTGATGATAACGTTTGTTGTTGTTCTTGTTGTTGTTGCTTTTTTAGAAGTATTTGTGGAATGTCAACATCAATTAATCTTAATAATCTTTCAACATATTGACCATGTGCCTGAAAATAAAACAAAAGAAAAGAAAAAAACAACTAAAACAATAGACATCTATATATAGATCTTACTTCAATATCATTATGACCAGCACCATCAAGCCATAATGGTTCAATTTGATGTTGTATATGTATTCGATTATAAAGTGCAAAACCATGACTTACATCAATAACATCATCTTCTGTTCCATGTATAATTAAAACAATTGAACGTATACGATGAATTTTATCTATTGAAGGAAATGCATCACAACACCATGTTCGTTTTGTATCAGGAAATGCAACACGCATGCCTGATGTTAATGGACTATGTAATATACATGCTATACAACATTCACTATGACGTGATGCTAAATCTATTGTTGGTACAGTACCTAATAAAAACAAAAAATTAATTAATTACGTAAAGTAAAAAAAAGCTATTAATGTAATCATTGAAGGATTAAAATGTGAAATACAATGTAATTGCTATTGCTAATTGCAGAGACATTGGTTTATTTTATCTATTTTGGGACATATTTCTTCATCATTATTTTACTCAATTCTTTAGAAATGCAATCAGACAGTATTTTATAGCCTACAGCGAGACATTTTCATGGTCACATCTGTCATAGTTTGTGATGATTCCTTACTAATATATTTATTACATCTGTTCAGAATATAGAAGGATCCAAATTTCTATCTCTATATTTCAACACTCCATTTAGATCATGTTTCATCAAAAAGCTAAAATAAAATACTTTCTTATTCTTACCAATGCTTTGTCCATAGAGAATAATTTTTGATTCTGGAACATGATATCGTTGTTTTATTGATTTATATGCTGCTTCAATATCTGCATACATATTTTTTTCACTTGCTTTTCCTTGTGAAGCACCATAACCTGAATAATCATAACTAATTATATTACATTGTAAACGTGTACCCAAAATAATAAAAAAACTTGCCATTTGACCTTGATTAAAAGACAAATAAAAGAAATAAACAAAAAAAGAAAAGAAAATAAATATCTATTTACCAAGATCAACAGCATTGCCATGACTAAACAAAATATAATATTTTGGATCCGATGTACAATTAACATAAAGACATGCGATACGATTATGACGTGAAGTTGTTACAAAATATGGTTCTAATTTAGATATATCTGATTGTGAATGTTGCCATTCGGCTTTTTCAGCAAATACTATTGTATATCGAACAGATGTGTTAATATCAGTGACAGACGTTTTCGTTGTTGATGATGATGATGATGGTTTCTGATCAATAGCACCATTTGTTGATATGGGAATATTGGCTATATGTAAAGAATATGTTGGTTCAGGTGGAAGAAAGGCTAAAAGATATATATATATATATAATTATATAGTTCTTGTTTTTGTCTTAAGTTTTATTCAAATAATAATTATTTACCAAGTTTAGCAGCTATGCGTGATGGGAATGGTGGACAACAAAAAAGGCAACAGAGATCACGTATTGAAAGTGTGTTCATTGTTCAAATCATCTACAAAACAAAAAGAAACTATTGATTATATTAACCTGTTTGAATAATTTCTTGTAATTGATTGATTTGATCAACTCGAATACATAACATATTATGCTAAACATTTTTTTTTCTATTCATATAATCTTATAAGTTTATAGTATGAAAAAAAACGCAAGACAAATGATGAATTCTTTACTCTATTAAGATCAAGTAAAAAAGTATGTAATCTAATTTTATTTTTGAAGAGTGTAAAAGACTATCTTTTTTGATAATCTAGTCTTTGAATCATATTCATTTATTTTCAGTGACGTAAAACGGAAAGAAACAGCGAGAGGTAGAGAATAAAATGCATGACAGAATAGATTTCTTCCAATAAAGTACAATTAATGAAACGTCTACCATAAGCATTGTTTCCTTCTATTGAACGTGCTTGTCTTTCTAACATAGATTGATGTAGACGAAGAAAAAAAAAAGAGATGAACAAGTTACTTCTATAAAGAGTAAGTACAAATATTGCCAACTTTGAGTTACTACTGAGAATTGATTATAGATATAAGAGATAGAAAGGAAAAGGAGATGCTTCCGCTCCATTTCCTTTTGTATTCTTATCATTTTCATCTGGAAAAGAAACTAATGTAGTATATTAGATCTATACTATTTTTTCTCTTTTCTACTATAAATCAATGTACAATGATATTAACCCGTTCTTTCTTGTTTTACTATATACAATGATATCGTCACTAGGTAGAAAATACTTTAGAAGAAACAAAACAAAACAAAATATACACATTGACATACTCTTAGTATCTTAGTTCTTTGTTTTTCCAAATAATCAATAGATTACATGGGACTGACAAAAAAAAAAACGTTATACACACAAACACACAGATAATCGCATACATATAGGTAAATTAAGATAAATTTCCTAAAGAAAATAATCGGGTATAACACGTTTTGTTGCTGATGAACGTTGATCTTGTGGTGCTGCTTCAAATATTGTAAAACCACGATTAAGATGTTCATCAAGTTCAAGTATAGCAGCAACATTTCCACAACGATAACAATAATTTGGTGCTGACCATACTGTTAAAACTGTTTCATTAAAATGCCATTTATAACCTTCCATAACAAGTTGATGTGCACGACAAATTAAATCAATATTATTTGTTTGATTAAATTGTGAAACAACATCACTACCAAATAAATAACCAGCACCACGTGGACTTACACCCCAACCAAGTGTTTCTTCTGGATCAGACCTAAATGTTTTTTTTTCATTAAATAAATATTTATTTAACAAAAAAAAAAAAGTAATTCTACCATAAAAGATCACACATTGGTCCATCATGTGGTACTTCCATTTTTCGATCAATTTGCCGAATTTGATCAAGTGTATTTATTGATGGACTAAGACCACCATGAACACAAAAAATTTTTCCATCAATAACAGCTGATAAACTTAAATAATCGAAAACTTCTGTACAATAACGCCATACCATAATTGAACCATATTTTCTTAAACATTCATCATAAAAACCATAAACTTGTGTAATCTGACGAGATTCATGATTACCACGAATTAATGTTATTCGATCAGGATATCTAACTTTAAGTGCAAGTAATAATAAAAATGTTTCAACACTATAAAAACCACGATCAACAAAATCGCCTAAGAATAAATAATTTGTTTGTGGAACATCGCCTGCAAAGAAAAGAAAACAATAAGAACAACAAATAAAGAGATGTATTGTATTCTATTAGTTGGAAGAATAGAGCTACTTTTATATCGCTTAATTATATCTAGCATGAATCACGTCTTCAAATAGAATATAAATAACGTTTGACAATAAAAACAAAATCAATTCAAATACACCATAGTACTAATTTATTTTGCTGTCAGTGAATATACTAATCCAATATGAAGTTTAATCCAATGATAGACAAATAATTTAATAAAATAGTTTTAGCAACTGAAAAATATCGTATTACATCTTATAATCAATATTAATTATTGATGATGTCTACACGTGAATATGGCCGTTTTTTTTTGTACTCAACACATGTAAATAACATTTTTAATATAAAGGAAAAGCTTATTAACAAAAAATTGCTTTCTATTAATCAAAATTCTTTTCTTTTTATACCAATCAACACATAAATATTTGTACAAGTTGTAGTTTTCTTTTTTTCTCTTCATGTAACTCTATGGATACTATTTATATAATATCAACATGTAAAACGAGACGAAGATTATCCTAATCAACACTATATATATATATATAGATGTTATCAAATAGATGATAAAAAAAAGAATCAAATGATTGAATGATAGGTCAACCTATCATCAAAACAAATATCATATTCGAAATTTAACTTGGTATTTCTTTTTTCTTAAAGTAAAATATACAAAAATAAAATAATATTTTGTTTTTTTGTTATATAAAAATACTTTTTTTTATTTACCTCCAACGCGAAATAATTCTAATAAGTCAAACATTTGTCCATGAATATCACCACATATTGTAACAGGTGAATCAACACATTGAACATTACTTTCTTCAACAAGTATTTCACGTGCTTTGGTACATAACATTTTAACTTCGCTTTCTTTAATTAATTCACATCGTCGTAATTGTTCTAATTGTCGGTCGAGATCTGACAAATCGGACATATTTGTATTGAACGAATAAGAAACAAAAAATAAAAAACAATAACAAAACAAAAATTGAAATCGATCTAAAATAAGGAAAGAAAAAAATTCTTTTTCTTTTCATTGATAATTTTGTTTTGTTTTTTTTTTTGTGAGACGACAAAAAACATACATATATATATATATATGAATACAACATAAATGATAATGATAAGATTGACTGGTTGAGCAAGGGAAAGAATAAGAAAAACAAAAAAAAAAATGTATTGCAATTATTGACAACATTTAAAGAAGGATGAAAATAGAATAGTACGAATTCGTTTGTACAAAGAAGTATGAAAAGGCATGCAGAGAATTTCAAATGGACAATATTCTTATGTCTTATTTTGATTATTTTTCAATTATATTCAGTTCAAGAAGTATTTGTTAATTCAACTGGAATTGAATTTGAATGATCTTTATCATCATTAGCCATTGTTAAATGACCAGTTGTTGTTATGGCACCATTAGGTGACATTGGTTTGTCTGTTAGAATAACTTGAACAACAAAATTACGTTGTAAACGAGCTTCCCATATAACTGAACGGTCGCCTGAAAAAAAAATTCAATTATGAGAAAGAAAAAATATTTGTCTTTGACGAAACTAATTATTAGATTTAATATCAATTTTTCTACCTGAGATCACAATGAACTCTTTCTAAGTAAATAATATTCAATCATAGAAAAGAAAAACTGATTAATTATATATTCTATAAATAACAAAAAACTAATCAGAATTTTTTTTTATAATATTAATACAAAGAAAAGATATTAAGACTCATGTTATTATTCATTTCAATCAAATTTCAATGAAAAGAAAAAATGTCATTAGAGAGATTGTATCTGTTATCATTTTTTTATCAATAGACACACAATCAACAACTGTTTAAATTCAAAGATAATATGATTGCTTTTTCCTTGTGAGAAAAAATTTTTCATGAATGTCATATGAAAATTCTAACGAAAGTTCAAGAAAAGTACTTATATATTAATTATGAATTTAGTATTTATATTAATATATTCGAAGCTGATAAGTTGACAAATGTCTTGTCACTCTTTGGGAAATCTCAATTAACTAAAGTGATTTATTTTTCTACAAAGTTATCTTGACATTGAATAGTGACATGTATTAGAAAACATAATTATTTATGCCCTTTTGATATTGTCTTGATCTGCAAAAACAAACAAGTGTTCGGAAAATTGATAACAAATTATAGCAACATGTTTTTTTTCTAGCAGTGGCTACAGAAAAAAAAGGCTTGTCAATCAATTTTTCCACAATAAACAGATACAATGACATATTTCACAGATTGAGAAAGAAAAAAACATAGAACAGTTCTATTTTTTACATTAACATAAATTCTATTACTATTAATGATAAATATAATGTCAAATAACTTACGTAATAATTTTCCACCAAAATATAATCGTTGTATTTGAGAATCAATAACTCCATTTTCTAACATAGCCAAACGTCTTTTAATATTACGTATTTTTTCATTTTGTTTACAATATAAACGATGTTCTTTACCATTTGATAAACGAAATTTAATTGGAATTTCAGTATCATGATCAATATTTGTTTGTTGTTGATTAGTTATTGGTGGTGGTGTTGTTGTTGTATTTGTTGATGATGAATCATTACCCGAATCAATATTTGTTATATTTAATTTTTGTTTTCGACGATGTTTTTTTATTTCACGTACTATTGGATTATGACCATTATGATGTGTTGTTGTTGAAGATTTTGTTGTTGTACGATAATGATTATTTGTTATTGTTGTTGTTGATGATGATGATGAACTTTGATTACCACCATAATCACGTTCACGATCAGTAGCTGCTGTTAATGCAAGACCAATATCACTTGTACCTGATTCATTATCACCACGAGAATCAATTGATGATTGATCACCATCAATTATATTGGTTGGTGATGATAAAACATAAATAGGTAATTGATAACGAGTACCAAGTTCATCATAACAATCAAGAAGTGTTCCATGAGGAAGAGATATATTAGCACAATTAATAACTAAAAACAAAAAAACAAAACAAAATGAATTGAATATAAATGAAAAATAATAAAAATGAAATTCTACTTGATTGTGCTAGATCGATATCATTTTGTTCAAGAGCATAACATGCACCACGCAAAGCATCCCAAATTTCTTTTCGACCTTCGAAAGCCGGTGCTAAAAATTTATAATATTATATTAAAATAAAAATATCAAAAATTGATTTATATATATCAATAGAATGATTACTCAATAAATTTTATTAAATAAACACTAGATATTTGTCCTAGAAAAATATTTGCTTAATTAGTAATTTTATACGAATCAATTAACAGATAATTTTAGGGTACGATTAACATGACAACATAAATTATGTAATAGATTTTCTTTTATTTTGTAAATAAAATTTGATATTGACTTTATTGTATTCTCATATTTCAGCAAATATTATTTGACATTTTGTTTTTAATGAGAAAATATATTAATTATCTATTCTTTACATATATGAAAAAAAGTCTAATTAATAATGATTTCTTGTAAATCTGTAGTATTATTGTACAAATAATTCTAAAATAAATCATAGCCAAAAACTATGATTTGTAAAATTTTATCTTATCAAAGATAAAAATTTTCTTTTTTCAAGTAAAATTCACCTGTATCCCAATATTCTTCACGTTTACGACGTAATTGATTTTCAGTAATTGGAACATCTGATTTCCATTTTGGACGGCAAGCTGTACGATTTAACGGTTTATTTCGACCAACAGTTCCGCCAGCTAAATTCAAAAATCAAAGATAATAAAAGATTTGAAAAAAAAAGAAATAATAATCTAAATTAATAAATTACTTGTTGCACTATTACGAGATGAACGTGATCGTCTTCGACGATGACTACGATTATGACGATTATGACTTACACATCCACCCATTGGTATAAATTTTAGAAACAAAAAAATTGATGTATGTTGTTATTTGTAACCCCACTCAAATTTGGTCTTATTTTTGTTTTTTTTACATACAAATGAACATTTACAAAAGATAAACAATATGATATTATCCTCCAATGATCAACAATAGAATATGAGAATACATCTAAATATAAATAAAAAGCAATTGATTAAATCATTGTTTTGCGAGGTCGACTTATATAAAACAGTAGGTTATGCTTTTTTTTCCTTTATTTGCCTCGTGTTTTTGTATGTCACGATAAAAAAAGCAGTAATAATGACGTTATCGAGTTGAAAGAAAACGAAATTGTCTTTCTCATTCAACCATCTATACACTCACGCTACCATATGACAGCTACCATATTAAGCGATAGCATTGCCTCAATGGTAAATGCAAGCAATGCGTTGATAGATGTCAGTAATAATCATAAATCAGAAATACTATTAAATAGATTAACACATTTATAATGCGATGAAATTATCTGACGTATATTCATTACTACCAATAAACTTTAGCGACATGTACTTTCAATTGTTTAAAGTAATGATGCAAGAGATGAATTATCATTCGTGTATGATGTTTGGTAATTAGGTGTGTTTATTCTCAATATACTGTGGAAGATTATATGATTGTTTTGTACCTAAAGTATTTCTTTGTGTATTGACTTTTGTATCCAAAAAGATTCACAATCATATTGTTCGCATTTATCTATATTGATATTTTTTTACTTGATCAAATTGCTTATTGAAATTAATAGTTATATCTATGTAAGATAAGAAATTAAAACTAGGATTTAGTAGATCTTAAAAATGTTATCATGTCGTTACTAGGTATAAAGTTTCATAAATTGAAATACTATGATTTCTTTTGTTTTTTTGTTTTGAGTAAATCTAGTGCTATAAAATCTATTTAAAAAAAAATAATCAATATAATGCTGATTATAAAACAAAACGATTTGCGTTATTTTGTCCTTGTTCTTAAAATCTGGTTATTTTTCTCAGTCCATAATAAAAGAAAATTGTCAATAAAAAGAAAGACAAATTAGTTCGTTTTAAATAATCTAAATATGTTTGATAACAATCGATTTTCTTTGGTTTTTATTATATTAATCTTTCATCATGTATCTGCTATTGGTCGAGATGGTTTAAAACTGATTTTCGAAGACAAATTTAATTCATCTTCAACATTAAATGAATCAATTTGGAATTATAATTATCCATGGGGATCAACATATAATCATCAAGCAAATATGATTCGTCGTCAAGTTATAATTACTGATTTAGGTCAAGTTAAATTAACAGCAATTCCTGTTCGAACATCAAATATAACAAGCCTTGATACAGTTGATTATGGTATTATTAATGTTGATTATACATCTGGTGCAATTCATACAAATAGTTTAACAACATTAAAACGTGGTTTAACTATAGTTAATATGCGTGTACCATCAGTTGTAAGTACATGGCCAATGATTATGCTTGTACCATTAGATGAAACATTACCTACGTTAACTATGGATGTATTTAATGATCGACGAAATATTGGTTATACATTTCGTTATACATCACAAATAGGTTCAAGTGAATCTGTTAGTGGTACAACACGTTCATCAACAGATAATAGTCTTGATTATCATTCTTACGCTATTGATTGGGGTTATGATAAAATATCATTTTTAGTTGATAATGTTTTACTTCGTTCATTTATTAAACCAATTGAAATCGTACAAATATCTGATATGAGTCTTGTTATTGCACTTGGTGTTGGTGGTCGATCACAATCTATACCAGTTAATTCAAGTGATTATCCAGCTACTTTATTAATTAATAGTGTACAAATGTGGGAACCAAAATTTGATGGTCGATTTAAAATAATTAATTTTAATTCAAAACTTCTTTTAGAAGTTGAAAATGGATTCGTATCAGATTTTACTCGAATTGTGCAAAATAATGATAAAGGTACACTTTGGCAACAATGGGATATTTTTTATGTTGGTTATAATACATATAAAATTGTTAATGTAAATAGTCGAAAAGTTCTTGATGATTTTGATTGGCAAACAAATGATGGTGCAAAAATTGTTCAATATAAATATGAAATAAAAGATAATCAAATATGGAAAATTATCGAAAATGAAGATGCTGATAATACAGTTACATTAATTAATGTTTGGGCACAAAAAGCAGCTTCATTTGTTGGTGCTTCAACACAAATAGGTTCACAACTTGTTCTTAATGAAATCAATGATGGACCAGATCAGAAATGGACATTGATTCGATTATAATAACATCTAGTTTTTTTTTGTCATATTAAAATTTTCAAATAAAATAAAAATTCTTATTCTCTCATCATACTTTAGTGTTTGCTTGTAAAAAGATGTCGCAACAATTTATATCTAAATAAGAAAGACAAAAATAAAGAAATTTGAACCGAGTCTTTTCGACAACGAACAATCATTATCATAATAAAGACGTTGCGCCTTTTCTTATTCTGAAGCACATTTTTTCTTCGATAGTGTTATATTCAACGGTATTGTGAATAAATCACAAATGATTCGAAATCATCTTATTAAAAACAGTTTGTGTTTATTATTCAATAACTAAATATTTAATTTAGCTTAAATAGATAGTGAAAATTCATCATCATTTTGGTCAGATGACGAAAATGTTGTTGAATTTGATGAACGTGAACAATATCCATATTATGCTTTTGATGGAATTAAAACTCGAATAGTTTGGGTAACAAATTATATAAATAATGAAGATTGTATGTATTATTATATTACTTTGATCTATCATTAAGAGTTAAGAAGAATGTTTGTTTTTTTAAAAATAGTTTCTATCAATGTATCAGCTGATGATCCTCTTCTTCAATTTGTTAATATTTTTTCTAATACAATTGATATTGAAACATCACTTGCAAATAAGAAAGATGACAAATCACTAGTCAATAAAATTCGTACTCTTGATTTATCAAAACTAAATTTAGATGATTTATTATTACTCTTATATCGATTACAACAAAAAACAACGAAAAATTCTGTGATAACTTCACCGTCTACTATTAGTTCTTCATCTACATCATCATCATCATCATCAGGTTTTATAGGTTTGTAGTAATCTGTTCAGGTGTATAAAAGTACGATCGGTTCTGACCGAATTTTTCCAGCTCCGATCATAGCCGGGTAGAGTCTAACTACACGATTCTTTCTTCCAAGTTCTTACCATTTTCAAGCGGGAAACTACATGTTTACGTCAGGTTCCCGCCAGAATCATTGATCTTGGTGAATTCAATTTATTATTTTCTAATTTTTATTTATATACAGAGTAACTCATAATAAATAACCAGTTTTTGTTCCCTTCTTTGGGCAGTTTAAAATCTATTGCTAATCTCATTCAAAAGAGAATTTATTTCTTCACAAGGCAGTCTATTCTGTTTTTCAAAAGTACCTCCCTTGTTGGTATACAATTGAACAGATTAACATCTACTCGATCGTCTATCTGCAACAATCAAAAAAAAAGAGAAAAATTGATAGCAATTTTTAACAAATATTTGGCTGAAAATTGAAAATATGTTACAATATTCCACAAAAAATTCTGCATCTTTTTCAAAGCCTTAAAATAAATATTTTATGTGCAAAAGTTTGAAAATACAGGAAAAAGTCCTTTTCAAATGAACCGTTACAATTTTTCTGTTTTATTTCGAAACGACTAAAACATTTTAACTAGTCTAGTGATAATGTAGACTATTTTATTTAGAATTAAATTTTGCATTCGACGAGATAAAAACAACGTTCTTTCTTCTGCTGCGTGATAAATGTCAAGAATATTAAAAAGATCAAGAGCAGATAGAACACAAAATTCTCTATCTTTGGATGTAAAATAATTTACTTTTAAGACTTGTCTCAATCAGCATATGTTTTCAGAAATCGTTTGAAATTCAAAGAAAATAGAAAGTCGCACGCACATGATTGAGCAGGTGTCAGAGGTCTCAATGGGCTGGATCGAGTCCGACCCAATCTGTTGAGACCTCTAGTAGGTATTGATCTTTTTAGTTTTTCATCAGTAAGGAAAATATTTTTGAAACACAAGATAGACTACTTTGTAGAGAAATAAATTCTCTGTTGAACGAGCTTAGAAACAGATTTTGAAACGATTGTAAACTGTCTCAAATAAGAGAACAAAAGTTGGCCATTTATTATGGATCACTCGAATATTTAAGAACGTAAACCATCATTTCAAATGTCAACTCGTCATCCATTAAATTCAAAACATTCTCATGCTATCCATTCATCTCTTTCAATGCTCAATAAAATACCATCTTATTCATATACAAACAATCGTCAACAAACTTCTTTTACTTTATCAAATATAGCCGATGTACCTAAACAATTAACTACAACATTAGCTAAACCAATATCATCATTTCATTCTCATAATACAAAACATATTCATTCACCAAATGATGTTGTTGATAAACTTCTTCAATCTTTTAATCTTCGAAATTATAATAGCGAGATAAATTATAATCAAAAAGTAACTATAGAATTTATTATCTCATTTTATTTATTTATTTTTCTTCTATTTAGTTTATTGAACATAAATTACAACGATGTTCATCACGTTATACTTATCAACAATCTCAACAACATAAAGCAAAACTTATTTCAAATCTTCTTTCTTCGAATTCAATTCGCAAATTTCCTTGTCATCTTCATCAACATAATTCGTATCATTAAAAACAAAAATAAAAACAAATCCATTTTTCAATTCATGTTTTATTACATAAATATATATCGTATAAATTCATCGTTTTATTCTTTTTTTTCTGTTTTCCTCCTCTTACAAAAAAAATACTTTCATCAAAACACACATACTGACAATATAATATGATTATGATAAAAATGCTATAATAAAAACTATAGGGGAAAAAAAAGGACGGTAGAATGCCCTGAGAAAGAAATAAAAAAAACCGAGCTTTTTCTTACATATTAAGACTCGTACTCAGAAAAGTCGAGGAAAAATCATACGAAAACAAGAAAAATCGAGAAGGAGAGATCATTTAATAATCTCTCAGGAAACGAATATAAAGAAGCCAAAAAAATAAATAAGTACAAAACAAAAGAGATTCATCCAAAACCAAGTAATAATAAATATATATATATCTTTGATCCTCTTGAATAAAATATAAAATATATACACATATTTCTCATTTAGCAAAGCTAAAATAAAAAAAAAAGGAAATCAATTATCTATAGCACGAAAGTTTTAACAAAAAATATTCACTAATTAAGACAATGAGTTAGAGCCAGAAGTAGTTAATTAGAAATAGAATTTTACTCTATTTCCAAAAATATATTTAGATTTTTCTTCTTCTCGAAGGTAAGATTAATAGTATTCTGTACAACTACTATTTTGAAATTTTTGATGATAGTTGTTCAATTTTATCTTAGAAGGACATTCTGAACACATATTTGGAAAACGTCTGATTCTAATTAACTACTTCTGACTGTAATCAATTGTCTTAATGAGCGAATATTTCATGCTAAGACTCTCGTGACATATGTTAATAAAAAAAAAATTGATTTAGAATATTTTCTTACGGATTATTGTTGTTGAAATGAAGAGAATAACTTGGTCGAATATGCACTAGACAGAAGAAAAGCTTAGTTTAGAAAACGAAAAAAAAAAGAAGAATTTTGAATAGAGAAAAATTTACTTCGAAATTCATCTGTTAATGATATTGTTTTTGTTTGTCGGTGACCACGTGTTAAAACAACAATACGTATTGCATTAAATAAACGATCGATCGTTGGATACCCATAGTCAGCTGGATTTGGACAATTAGCATTACCATGACGTAATTGATAATCAATAAGAAAATCTTCAAAATTCATTTTATCTAAACCACATGCACGCATTCCTTTAACTACTTCATATGCAAATCGCATTGGTGGTGTAAGACGAACATTTTGACCGATTAACTAAAATAAATATTAAAAGATTATGAGATAATGAAAAGAATGTATTATTGTATTTATCGAATTATGAAAAACATTAGATGAAGTTTCAAAATATTTCATAATTAAACCATTTGAAAATTATAAATGAAAAGAGTTACGAAAGAAAACATTGCCAGCACAATCTCTTTGAAGTAAAAATGTGGAATTCACATGTATTATTTATGCTAATACAAAATACGCAGAATGAAAAATCTCTAACAGACTATAGTTATTTTCCAATTATAATCGATTGCCAGGGAAACGTTCTGTATTATTTATTTGTACATTTCGAACAGAGATTTTTTCTCTATTTTTTGCTTGCTTTAGTTTTCATTTTTCTTAATTTAACATTATTATTATTCTAACTATTGGCACATAAATCTGTTACACATATCTATTATATCTACAACAGGTTTCAACACACTATTCTATGTCTCAATCAGCTCAGAAGCATTGGCATTGGTTATTTTCTCAAAGTTATAACTTTCCCAGTTCATGCGTTTTATGTTAATTATATAACAACTGTGGCGAATCAATGCATCATTACCTGTCATTATTGACATCTTGAAAATAAATCTTTATTTGCACAAAAACCAGACACTGTGCTATTTAGAACATTCACAAACGTGTTCTAGTAATTCAAATTTCGAGAAAGACTTTGGAATATTTTAGAATAGTCTAAGTTTTGTTGATAATACCGTACAACTCCTTGTCCCTTTGCTAAGGAACTCAAGGAAAAGAATGTGACATCTATTGTCGTCAATTACTGTAAAAGCAAGCCAACTGCTATGAGTAGGAAAAGTTGCAAAACCTTGACTTAAAACTTACACTCACTATACTTCGAAAAACATAATGTGAATTCCACAAAAATATAACGATATTCATATAAGGGATAATAAAGTCTAAAGGCCTGAATAATTTCAGTCAGGGAGTTTTGGTATTTTTTATTATGCGCAAGTCGATGAAACTTTTTTTACAATCTAATAAAAACCTCGCGAAAAAATCATATTCCTATCGTTTTGTTTATAGAATTTAACATTGATTCAAACACATGTTCTATATCATTGACTCGTTTAGGAATAGTTTCTTTTCTTTCTCTGTAATCGTCAAATCTCATTTAGATTTTCTTATTCCAATAATTGTCGTTGAATATGTGTAGATCTTCATTGGATCAATCGATGAATAAACAATTTGCTGAGACTGCTTTGAGTAAGTGTTTTTCTTTAAAAACGTTTTAGCAACTTCTGTTTGTCTAAGAAAGTATTTCTTCAAGAAATTTTTCTAACAAAATTTTTTTTCATACTTCAACATATTGTTTAAGTCGATTTTGACAATCTTCAATTTTTAATTCACGTCTATATCGATTAGCCATTTCTTGTTTAAGTAACCAAATTGTTGTTTCACCTTGTGCTTCCATAAGAATATGTACAACATTTCGAGCAAATACAATTTCAGAATGATGTTCTTCAATAACACGAATAACTACTGTATTCTTATTTGTTTGTATACACTATATACAAAAAAAAAAAGTTAAATATTTTTCAAATGAAATTTTTTAAAATAACTAACAGTTAATTTATCTTGCATTGATTCAACCATTGATTCAATAGAATCAAAACCCATTTCTTCATAATTAAGTTCAAAACGAAACATTTCAAAATAAAGTTTCATTAATTGATCAAATAATATTGAACCATCATGTTGTCGTATAAGTTGAATTATATTTAATAAAACAGCTTGATGAATAGCATTATCAGTTAATTGTATAATACGTTCACCATTTTTATCTTCAATTATTTGAACAATATTTGGAATTTCTTCAAATAAATCAATTAAACGTAAACAACCATATAATTGTACACGACATTGATAACCAAAATGATGGTGATACATTGGAATAAAACGTTGAAATGGTATATTAAAATCTTGTTGATGACGAAACATATTTATAATATCATCAGCAAATATTTGTGTAGCAAATTTTTCAACATTTGTTTGTTCTAGAAAATTCAAATAATTAGATTTAAATTTGAAAAAGAAAATCAATATACCTTTACGATAGAGTTTTATTATTCCAAGTTCTCGATCGATAACAATTTCTTTGTTGTCTTTAAGTTCACCAATGAGATCATCAAGAAAACAAACACCAAAATCGATAATATCGAATGGTTTTTTACTAAAATTGGCTACAAAAAAAAAATAAAAAATAAACAAATAGATTTTACTAAAATCATTCTTTTGTTTTTGAATAAATTTATATCATTACTATTTTCAACTGAACGTTGAAAACAAACGCATTATCTATAGATATTACGTTCACTATTTAAATCCATATCATTGTGTTTGATCGACAAAAAATTCGAACTTTACATTCTCTGTCGATATAAATAGTTTGTATAAAAATTTCGAAAATCTTGATAGAATAAGGAAAAACAAGATACGTTTTGTTTAACTAAAGTTCGCTTTAAGTATCAAAGATAAATTTTGTTCTTAAAAACTATTTCATATGATATACGTCTCGTAACGATTTTTCCAAGGAAATCTTGCCAATGGGAAAATCACTTTGAAGACCAATTTGACTTCATTAGATATTTTCTGTTGAAGTTAGAAAAATCCTAACAGAATTCGTGATCATCGTTATTTCATAAAGCAATCCCGTGGTCTCCCCTCAGATTATCTTCTAAATAGACTTGAGAGATTTTAGTTCAAACATTGTACAAATAAAGTTAAGGATGAGAAGAAACAGAGTTTCTTCACATGACAAATTTTTTTGAATATTGATATTTAAGGATAGAAGTTACTAGAAAATCCGAAAATTTTACAATGAACTAGTCCCATTGAGAATTTTATATATACAAAGTTTGAACTAAAAACTTTCAAGTCTATTTAGAACACGATCGGGGAGGGGAATGGAGTGGGTTTGTTTTTAAAAACTTAGTAAAATGGCTATAACTCAAGAAGAAACACCTATGGGTATAAATCTCTTAAAGCTTTTCTCTAATCTCAATAAGACCTATTCAATGAGGTAAGACTCATTTCAAATGCAATTTATTACTTTATGAGATTCACTCATTAGAGTGTTCAATATACTAGAATTCGTCAAAGTTTGTCTATAAAAATGAAGTTAAATTTATTGACTTAACAATTTACAATTCGCAAATGAATAAGACATTTTTTGATTAATTTGAATTCTTAAGAAATATCTTGCATAATTTTAATTTTTACTTACTAAACTCCTTTGGAATTTCACTAATAGCCATTGATCTTTGTGGTTTATTTTTTAAAATTCTTACAAGATCATTAAAAAATCGTTTAACTTGACATCGATGAGTAAGTGTTAATATACGTTTATTACCATCACCAAGTACCTAGAAATAAATATCATATTGAAATACGTTTTTTTTTAAATCTTTTACTTGAACAGCATTTGGAATAGCAAGTAATAAATCAAGAATTTTATCAAAACCATAATCAGCTGCTCGACAATGTCGACTATATTTCATATGATAAGTTGTTACAAATTTTGATAATGGTAAACGACAATGTTTTGTTTGTTGTTTAAGTAAATCAATTACTTCACGAGCAAATGTTTGTAATGAACAAGTTGATGATGAAGATGATGATGATGATGATGATGATGTTGAACGTTTATCTGATACCACTAAAAAATAAAAATAAAAAATTCGTCTTTTTTCTTGTGTAATTTTACTATGATTAAGTGGAACGGAAAATGAAGGTGTAATTGTTGTTTGTATACGTTTAATAACACCTTGATCAGTAACAATTTCAACATTTTTAACACATGTTATATAATGTTCAAGTGGTATACCATATTCATCATCAATTAAACGTGGAAAATAATGTGAATAACATTGAACAAAACTAAAAATTTCAGAATGGTATTTTTAAATATTTTCAAAAAAAAAATATTTAAAAAAAAAAGAATATTAACCTGCCCAATGGCATAGAACTACCATGTTGAGAAAGTAAAAAATGAACATGTTCAGAAAATATTTGTAATGGTAAACGAACAAATGGTAAATCAAATGTTGAACTCACAACAAAGTTTGTTGGACAATGTATTATACAATAAGGACGTTCAAGTTGAACCTATTCAGAAATAAAAATTAATAATACATATTTTAAAACAAAAAGAAAACTTACAGAAAGTGTATCATATCCAATTGTTGCTCGAAATGTTGGTGAAAGTCGTGCGAAGCCTGTCTGACCATTATATTGAATTTCAATTATATCACGGGCTGTATTCAATTCAGATATATGTAATGGTTTACAAAATCTAAATTCAAAAGATATCAAGTTAAAAAAAAATTCATATGATAGATTAATTATACAATTAAAACTGCTAGATTGTCCTTTTTAACTTACCGACTTTGATATTCTTGAACAAGTGTTAACATAGGACACATATAACCAGGATGTTCTTTAAGAAGAGCAGCTACTTCGAGAGCAGTTCTAAAAATATAAAATTTATATAATTACAGAAAAAAGAAAAAAATATTGTTCAAATTACTGAGAAGCACCAGGTACTAATTGTTCTGATTCATGAATATTTGTTGATGATTTTGTTCGTTTTTGTGATGGTAATGAAGATTCATATGGTGATGGTGATATAGCTCGAGAATTTTTTTCTTGTGATCGAATTGGTAATTTTGATCGGATTGGTAATGATGTTTTCATTACTATACAAATAACATAAATACAAGAACTCTTTTTTTCTTTTTATTCGGATCTACTTACAACAAGGTGGCTGTTGTTGTGGTGGTGATAATAAATTATTTAAATTTCTTTCATCAATAATTGAATCAATACTGATTTCTTGTTGTTGTTGATAATCATCAACAAATGATAATGGTGTTTCTGGTAATGTTGATAAGTATGAAAATTTTGGTTGCCATATAGAATCTAATGTCGTAGTATTTTCAATTGATGATGAATCAAATTCAGCTGTTGGTGCAACAAGTGGTAACCAACTAACTTGACGTTCAAACCTTGACATAGCTGTTTTAAAATCAAAATTCGGTTCAAGAAAATCAAAAAATCGCAATTGATCAACATGCGAACAAAGGCTATCTTGTCGCCTAAAAACAAATAACAAGATTATTTTCAACGAAAAAAAAAACAATACTTACACAATGCTCGGCATCATTAAAAAATAACTTTATAAATTAAAAACAAAACAAAAAGGAAAAAAATCGATCGATATTATGTGTTACAATAAAACAGAGGATCCGTATATAGTATAAAGAGGAGGAAAGATGGTGATAAAAGCTCGTTGTTTTTTTTTTTGTAAATGTGACATGATATTCACAACCTATATACATAGACTATTCTCTTTTTCTCTCTCTCTCCGTTTTTCTTGCTACTATGTCAGACAGTAGAAGACCTCGATTTTATTTTCTCTTTTTAACTACTAACCAATAGTTGTAAAATTATGTGTCGTTACAATACCTCGATATGATTATGATATGTGAATTTGAACTTTTCATGAATAACAAGTACGCTAAGGTCAAGAATACACGACCTTATCCGAATTTTTACGTCTTTTTGCAATAGATAATCAATAGGAGAATAATTGTTTCTTGCGAAAAATTAATATTAGAGTCAAATTTTAATAAAAATATTCTTTTTTTTTTAATATTCTCAGAAACATTGTTCGTTGTGATAGATCTTTAGATATGTAAGAATTTCAAATAGATTTTTGTCAAATAAACAATATAGATTTGATTTATCTTTCACAATGAAAAAATTTGTCGTTTTATTTAAAATATAAACAGTTTTTACAATATAGTTCAATTAATATTATTGCATAAACGAAGTACATTTTAACCAAAACAAAAACCAAGAGGGAGATGTGCATCAAGATATAAAGATGGAAAGAGTAAACAAGCAGATGGGGGATATTTCAGGTTAATGAAGATTAGAAGATGAACATCCATTTTTATTTTAATTAGAGTTAATATTATTTCTAGACTATTTATGTTGGAACTAATTTTTTTCGATTCGTGGAAAAACCTTACAAAATGACAAAGACACGATTTTACTTTTCAGACTTTTGTGCAAGAAAATGGTTTTAATATAAAATTCAAAAAAAGTTTCTTGTTGATTCTGACATCAAAGACATTCATATCAGCGACTTTTGATCAAAGTCATGCTTTCCAAAAATCTTAATTAATCAAATTTTTCCAGAGACAACTTTGAAACCGGTAAAAATTGATTTCTCTTGTGCAACTAAAACTAATTACCGAAGGAAAACTTTTGTTGTCGGTTGATAAAATTCCTACTCCTATGTTGATTCTTTCCAAAAACAAAATCATCATAAGATACAATTTCTTATAATTGTTAAGAGGTTTTTGCCTATCGGAGGCGATCACTCTGGTGACGAGTATACAACAAAGAAAATGTTTAGATGTAAAAATAAATTATCAAACGTTATTAAGAAAAGAATCTATAGTAATAGTCACATTTTTTAACTCAACCGATCATGAAAAAGAGGATTTTTGCAATCTCAAGTGAATCTATTGTAAACAATTTTCAATTGTCTGTAGTTGAACTCAATAATGAATTTAACTTGTGATATGTTGTCCGGAGAGTAACGTTTATAGTTGGGATTTCAGTTAAAGAATTCGATTAATTAAGAAAAAAAACAAGGAGAGCCGAATCTAATCATTGAAGGATTGACATGGACATCGAGGAAGCGTTTCTGAACAACTAATCGATGACTAGCGACAAAAGACATCTAAATATTATGCTCTGTCATTGCCATCTTTCCTTGCTTCTGCATTTCTCCGAGATCAATCATATTCAGTGGCATCAACTGTTTGAGCAATTGTTTCAATTTTACCAATAGAAACAACTCGCGGCAACAGATTTTGAATGTGCAAGCTCATACTACATTTTATTCAAACCTTCAGTTACCACACACATGTGCTGCTAACTTCGATCTCTCCTATTTCTCTTCGATATACTTTCAATAAGATTTATTTCAAATATGGGCAATGATTGCAAGTCAAACACTGATCTTATACCAACGATTTCGTGGTCTTTGGTGTCCACAATTTCCGTTTACACAACATTCACTTGGCCCAGGCCATATGATTAGATTAGTAATACAAAACAAAACAGCTTTATTGCATCGAGCACATGGATCAAACAACGCTGCACCTGGTATCCCTATACAAGTATCGAGTGAAGCATATAGTCAAGAAAAGCACGGTCAAGTATACTTACATGACCAACCCCAACTGTTTGCACGACATCTATATTTCTTAAAACATGCATCATGCCGATCGCAACATTTGCCCTTCGGACCACAACTAGGAATTATCACATCGCAGCCATAATTATCTCTTGTTTGAATCAGCATTCTGATCAAAACGTCTGGATTAGTATACATCGAAGAATCAATAGCACACGTGTAAAAAATTGTACAAGTAGCGAGGATAATTATCGTCGATAACTGCATTTTGTATTACTAAAAAAATGATATTGTGCACATTCGATACCAGACTTAATGAAATCGTTTCTTACTACCTCTTGCCATTGTCATTTGATGCTAAATCCCTGTGTATATACGATGCCAACATGCATCGATTTCTCACTAGAATCAAATATGATTTGAGTCGAGTATTGTTGCTGTCTGCTGTGAATGATCGTTTGCATTTTAAAAAGCTATACTTCTGTTTATATACACTACGACAGTTTACAGATCCAGGTCTTCTTTAAGAAAAGTAGGGTGTGGGTGTGATTGTGGATGTACATAGTCATGGATCGGGTGTAGGTGTAGGTTTTTCGTTTACCATACAGATAATCACATCTACATATCCACCTTGACGCCCACTGTCATACTCACACCTTCCTAAGTTTGAGTATGAAAAAAGCTGTTTTTCAACATGTTTTACTTAAGGTTTCACCGCAAAGCTAGCAAGATTCAACTAAAGATTCAAGGTGGTCCATGAGTCTATGAGTTTATCTCGATTCGAAAGATTTTATTTATTCTTGATCATAGATAATCTTTTTCACTAGGTGGTTTCTGTTCCTAGTTCCATATTGGCTTATAATGAATTTATTCTAAAAGTTTATTAGAATAGAAGAAGGAGTTCGGAATACAGAAATAGAACTGATTAATACCCGTTTCAAAATCAAAAAAGGGTGGCCATTTTTTGAATAACTTTTGATAGGTCGGTGGTGGAGAAGTGAAATTTTTAGAGTAGATAGAGCAAGTCAAGGGCTACAAAACCACACCCTCCCGAGATTTTTTGTGTGATGTTTTCGAAGCTTAAGTATATCGACTTTCTTGCGAACATCCAAGTAGGGACTTATAATGCTTTCGGATCATATTTTTTTTATGGGTTAGATTCGTCTACTGAAGGTCTACAAGAATCACACTAACCCGAATTTTTGATATCCATCTTTAAAGAAACGCGATCGATCCCAAGTAGACCTATTTTTGCAGAAAATTGATGATATGACTTGCACAATTTCACTTCGCAGTAAGTTTTCGCACAGGTTTTCGACTATGGCGAGTCGAATGGCAGTGTTTTCGATCAAAGTTGATCGATCCATGTCCAAAAGTCGCCTAATTGAACTCTGTCTGTCATGTAAAACTGGTGGTTTTATGATGTT